GCGTTTACACGTATCATTGCAATTCGCAGTGAAATTGAAGGCGAAATTTACGATGTCTCATCTTTTTGCGGCGGTGATAAGACAGTTTGTAAAATGTGTTAATAATGTTAAGCGTTACGTACACAGGCAGTTACATTTAATAAAGTTCGTCATCTTTTAACAATAGCTAATTGAATAGAAAATTAATAATTGATGGAAAAAAATATCATCATGTAACCCACATATTGACTAAGTGTTATAACATTTCTCTTCATTCCAATAAAAAAAAAAAAAAACTGAAAGAAAAAGTAGAGTCTCAATAGAATTGTATTTTATGAATAGACGCCCTATAAAACAATTGTGTAACTCTACCGACATAATTGAGGACAAGTATCGATAACCAAGCATTTAACATTAGGTAAGTTAGCGAAGAAGATACTGTAGTGGGTATGACTTACTTAATTTCACCATATACGCTTCTAAGATTTCTAGTCGCAGAAAGTCATAGACACTAATTTTTCGTAATAGCTGTGGGCCGAGGGTATTAACTAATGAGATATTTAATAAGAAAACAAGTTAAAAAGCAATAAGTTCGGCTGGGCCGAACTTTGAATACCCTCCACTATTTGGAACGAATTTGGAAATTTTCAAAACAAAAAAAAAAATCCTTAAAAAATCCTGTTAAAATTTTAAAAATACCGAATATAGCCGTTTTATTGGGGTCTACATTCAAATTCGAAACTTGAAATAAACGGTGAATAATGTAGCTAAAATCATCAAAATATCGTTTATAGGGAGGTACCGTTATATAGGAGCTGTACGAAGACCTGGACCAGCATAGACAATTTTCTCTCACAGACTATAGAATAGAATAGATAGAATCCATTACGAACGTCAAATACGACATCTCAAAAAATTTCGGTGGGTATTGTACCTAAACTCGTTAAGATACCGAATATAGGGGTGTACTGATATATGGGGCCTATACGAAGACGTGGACCTGCATAGACAATTTTCTGTCAAAGACTGTAGTTCCCATTACGAACTCTAAATACGTAATTTGAAACAATTCCGGTGAATAATGACGCTAAAATCATCAAAATACCGAATTTTGGGAGGTACCGTTATATGGGGGCTATACGAAGACATGAACCTGCACAGACAATTTTCTGTCTTAGGCTGTAGTATTTATTACGAATCTCAAATACCAAATTTTAAACAATTCCGATGAATAATGTCTCTAAAATCATCAAAATACCGAATGTTGGGAGGTACCGCTATATGGGGGCTATACGAAGACGTGCACCTGCACAAACAATTTTCTGTCTTAGGCTGAAGTATCCATTCCGAACTTCAAATACCAAATTTGAAACAATTCCGGTGAATAATGTCGCTAAAATTATAAAAATACCGAATATCGGGAGGTACCGTTATATGGGAGCTATACGAAGACGTGGACCTGCACAGATAATTTTCTGTCATAGGCTGTAGTATCCATTTCGAACTTCAAGAACCAAATTTGAAACAATTCCGGTGAATAATGTCGATAAAATCATCAAAATACCGAATATCGGAAGGTACCGTTATATGGGGCTATATGAAAACGTGGACCTACATGGCCCATTTACGAACTTAACCTGCCTACTGGAAAAATAAACACATGTGCAAATTTTTAGACTTCTATCTCAATTCATTCGAGAAATAGCGTGATTACAACAGACAGACAGACGGACAGACAAACAGAAGGACTTGTCTAAATCGACTTAGAATTTTACGCTGATTAAGAATATACATACTTTGTTGGGTCTGACATGAGTATTTCGAGGAGTTACATATATACAAATCAGAAATACGATTTGGGTCTGATACATAGGTATAATTTACCAGATTTTTTGAAAAACAAAAAAAATCTATACAGCCCTGCACAAATGTTACCTTTGGTTTTTAATCGGGGACATTTGCCCTATATTTACGCTCTCTGTCATGCCCATAGGTATTCAAAACATTTTCTCAGAAAAGTTGTGGTCCATGCTACCCGCTATATATAATTCAATGGTTGTACAAAATGCTAGATTTCTGCCCTCTCTTACGCCCTAACCTTATGCAAAATTCCCTGTCGATTTAATTTTAATTGTGACCTGTAGTATCGACTCGAGATGATTCGGGTTGATATCGACTCTGGAGTATTCGGGTTGATGTCGACTCGGGAGTATTCGGGTTGATGTCGTTTCGGGTTCTCCGAAGTTTTCGGGTTGCTGTCGGTAGAAAATTTGATTAGTGGGAGCGCTAGGGGCTGGCTATGAGCATGGAGCTTGCAATGAGCGTGGATGTTGCTATGAGCATGGAACTTGCTAAGAGCGTGATTGAAGTGTTTGCAGTTTCCGAGACCTCGGAAGAGCCACACGTCTATTTTACTCGTACTTTGTCGGCGGAATTCTACAATTTCGGTGTGAATACTAAACTAAACTTCAGACTGCTATAATTTCTAAGGCACTCTTTCGGCAGCTGTTAAAAGTATTCCACTGATAGCTCAGTACATTGTTTACAAGCGTACAAAAGCATTTTGAGTCTTTTCCAGAAAAAAAGATATTCGTAATGGAATTCAAGCGTGATAGTGTGATCTCTTTATATTCGGCTGGAAAACCACAAGTGGTTATTATTAGTGGCATCAGAATAAATGCCGAATATTATCGCGAAAATATTCTGGACGGTGTATTATAGCCTTGGGCACGCAAACATTTCCAGCCCACAATGGCCACCAAAATCTCCGGATACTGTTCACCTCATCAAGCGCTCTGCCGGGAATGTGCAAAAATACCACAAAGCAACATTCGGGCAGCTTGTCATTGGCCGCTTGAATGCCATAATTCGTGCCCTCCACCAATTGGTACAAATTTAAAAAAAAAAAAATAAAATCCGTTAAAAATTCTGTTAAAATCTTAAAAATACCAAAAGTAGCCTTATATTAGGGTCTATGCGACGACGTGGACCTCCATAGGCAGCTTTTGTCATAAGCTATGACAATATAATAAAATGCGAAACTTAAAAAAAAAATCTGTTTATAATGTAGCTAAAATCATCAAAATGCCGAATATAGGGAGGTAACATGGGGGTTATGAAACGTGGACCAGCATGGACAATTTTCTGCAATAGTAGTTCTGTAGTATCCATTACGAACTTCAAATACAAAATTTGAAATAATTCCGGTAAATAATGTGCTAGAATCATCAAAATACCCAATATCGGGGTACCGTTATATGGGGGCTATACGAAGACGTGGGCCTGCACAGACAATTTTCTGTCATAGGCTATAGTATACATTACAAACTTCAAATGCGAAATTTGAAATATTTCCGTTAAATAATGCCGCTAAAATCATCAGAATACCGAATATCGGGGGAGCAGTTATATGGGGACTATACGAAGACGTGGACCTACATGGCCCATTTTCTGTTTTGTGCTGTAGTATCCACTACGAAAGTCAAATACCAAATTTGAAACAAATCCGGTAAAAATTGTCGCTAAAATCATTAAAATACCGAATATCGTCAGGTACCGTTATATGGGGTCAATACGAAGACGTTGACCTGCACAGACAATTTTCTGTCATAGGCTGTAGTATACATTACAAACTTCAAATGCGAAATTTGGAACATTTCCGGAAAATAATGCCGTTAAAATCATCAAAATACGGAATATCGGGGGACCGTTATATGGTGGCTATACGAAAACGCGGACCTACATGGCCCATTTTCTGTCTTAGACTGTAGTATCCATTACGAACTTCAAATACCAATTTTGAAACAATTCCGGTAAATAATGTCGCTAAAATCAGCAAAATACCGCATATTGGGAGGTACCGTTATATGGGGGCTATATGAAAACTTGGACCTAAATGGCCCATTTACGAACTTAACCTGCCTACTGGAAAAATAAATACGTGTGCACAATTTTAGCCTTCTACCTTAATTCGTTCGAGAGATTACAACAGACAGACGGACAGACGGACGGATATTGCTGAATCGACATAGAATTGTATACTGATCAAGAATATATATATACCTTGTGTGATCTAAAATGTATATTTCGAGGTGTTACAAACGGAATGACAAACTTAATATACCCTCCATACTATGGTGGAGGGAATAAAAAAATCTAAAAATTATGGCGTTTGACTTTGTTGCAGTGTTTTTATCTCCCCCTGTACATGTCGCAATTATCTTTCGATGCTCCCGAAATTTGCCAAGTGGGTGGGGTTAGGGTAAGATTTAAAGCCCATTGTTCTTGAGATGTACATTTAGGGATTCTTTCACACAAAAGTAGAGGCCCATTCTACCCGCTGTCCTTAAATCTAACTTCATGCTATATATCGTGTTCTTTTGTTACCATTTGTAACCTTTTTAACGGCTGCAAAATCAGGAACATTTTTAGTTGTTGGTCCATTTCAACCCCTAAAAATATTTCGTACATCTTTAAAACCAATAGGCCTAGACCTTCTGAGCCCTACCCTACCCTTAAAAGTATTACAATATTATAGGTCAAATTGAAAAATAACATGCGATGAAAAGTAAAAAAATATTACAAAATACTACAAAATTTATATTAACATCATTATTGGCATCTTTTTATGCGATTTTTTTTACATTTTATACAATTATGCCAAGAGGGCATTCTGAATTGACAAAATGTGTCAAAATCGGTCAAGCCATTCTTGAGATATGAGCATTCTAGCTAACATCCTCTTCCTTTGTATATAGAAATTGGTATATTTCGCTATAAAAACAAACAGTATTTGTTTACTACAATATTCCTTAATCAGAGAATATTCTTGAATAAGCTTTGTTTAGTTAAATAACTACAAAATTTAGCATCTTAGTACCAGAAATGCAACGTTAACCTAAATTATAGGAATTTTTTCGTATGTTTTGTAAATATTGTTCGGTTTTCTTCCGTATTCAGATCTAACACCCGGTTAGGTACGCATTTTCCAACATTTTTTTTATTTTCACTAAATCATCAAATGCTTTCAAAAACTTCATTTTTGGTTTATTGATCTTAAGCCTTAAAACTATGTAAATAAAACAAAAAACTTTAATTTAACTTAACAACTAAACACACACTATTTTAAGGACTAAGCAAGTAAGTTATTCCAATTGACTTTTTTCTATTTTTTTACTTTTTTTGTTATTATCTTTTCTTTGAAATCAAACCGTGTTTTAATGGAATTAACATAAATGACTGATTCTTTTGCTAAACAATTTGCCACTCCAACGCTTGCGCTTGTTGATTTTAAACTGTCTTTTTCGCATCCTTATATGGTTTCCAAGCACTATAGGCCAAATCAAAGTCACGTCCCCAACCAGAATGTCCGCCGGATGAGACTACAACTTCGTGCGATGATTCCTTACCTCCGCCGCTGAGCAGTTTCTTTATGCCGATAATCGAGGCCAATACCAGGGCCAGTTTGGAAACAATTAAAGCTTTACCGGCCAGCATGGCCAAGGCACCATAGGCAATGGGCACGAAGGTACCACCCAATAGCAATGGAATCATAATGTAAGCTCCGCCACCTTTTTTATCCTTCTTTTTACGACTCTCCACAGTGTTGCCCGAAATCGAATCATCCGGTCGCACATCAGGGAATCTTATCTGAAAAGAAAATGTTATGCTGCTTTTTACGAAATTCAGTAGGATTTAGTTGGTTCTACCTGTAATGTATGGCGCTGCAAGAAACCGGCAATATTCTTAACAATTAAATTTGTCAAAACTTGTTCTTTGGCATCCAAGGCCCTGGGCAAATTTGCCTCTAGCTCTGCCTCAGTTAGTAACGGCTTAGTCGGCTCTTCCGAATCATCGGCCTTCACAAATTGTATACCTTCCATTATTTTCAATTTCTTAGCTGAACGTTGAACTTTCTCTAGACCGGTTAACAATTTAACTTTGAGGCAGACGGATAGATTTTCAGCCGCACATTGCTGATACAGCCGATAAACCATTGAAAGATCCTTCCAGACATTTGCTGTAGTTGTTGCGCCGCCTGCTTGGGTTGTTTGCGATTGACCCTCTGGGTCGTCAGCAATGCTGTTTGCATGTTGCGACGTGTGTGACGAACTTGAACTTGAAGCACTGCGTGCCACAACCGACGTTTGAAGCCAACAGAAAATTATTGTTACGACTGCCACATGCCAGGTGTATTTAAGCATGTTGTTGCACTATTTTTGTTGAGTATTTTGTTGGGGTGATTAATTAAATTTTTCTTTTGTATTTCCAATCGAATTTCAAATGATCCTTAAGAGGATCATTTAGGGTAAAATTGTACGTTAATTTAAAATGTCTTGACTGCTTAGTTATATCCTTTTTTCCGTTTGCTTTACAGCCAATAATCCGTTTTATAATTCCGTTGCTACTGTCTAAACTTCTCTTTGTTATCACGTGACGTATTCTTATGAACTGATCCGATATTTTAGTAGCCCGTGTTTTTTATACTACCTTTAAGAAACCACTTAGTTTTCTTTTCATTTTCATGATATTTTTGTTGTTTTCGAACCATATTTTTAATGTAATTTGGCGTTGGTGTAGTTTTAATTTCAACATCATCATCTTCATCATTGCAATGGTGCTTTATCTGATGTATGATTTTTACGTATTATCTGCAGAGATCATCTGGTTCGGAGGGAGAAAAACTAAAAATAAATTGCAAAAACAACAACAACTTATCATATAAATTAAAAATTTTCTTTTTCATATGTTGGAAAGAAAATTGTGTACTAAACGTTTGTTTTAGTCTAAATCACCTAGCATGCTATATGCACTTAAAGAAAATAACACTAATAATATTCAATACTTAAATATATCAATTTTGGTTTAATAGGGAAATATAAAATGCAACAAGTAAAAAAGCTGTAAGTTCGGCCGGGCCGAACTTTTAATACCCTCCACCATTTGGTACAAATTTGACAATTTTCAAAAAAAAAAAATAAAATAAAATCGGTTAAAAATTCTGTTAAAATCTTAAAAATACCGAATGCCTATACGACGATGTGGACTTTTGTCATAAGTTATTACAATATTTTAATGCGAAACTTGAAGAAAAATCTGTTTATAATGTAGCTAAAATCATCAAAACACCGAATATAGGGGGTACCGTTATATGGGGGCTATACGAAGACGTGGACCTGCACAGACAATTTTCTGGCATGGGCTGAAGTATCCATTACGAACTTCACATGCGAAATTTGAAACAATCCCGGTAAATAATGTCGCTAAAATCATCAAAATACCGAATATCGGGGGGTACGGTATATGGGGGCTATACGAAGACGTGGACCTACATGGCCCATTTTCTGTTTTATGCTGCAGCATCTATTACGAACTTCAAATGCCAACTTTGGAACGATTCCGTTAAATAATGTCGCTAAAATCATCAAAATACCGAATATCGGGGGGTACCGTTATATAGGGGCTATCCGAAGACGTGGACCTACACAGATTATTTTCTGTCTTAGGCTGTAGTATCCATTACGAACTTCACATGCGAAATTTGAAACAATTCCGGTAAATAATGTCGCTAAAATCATCAAAATACCGAATATCGGGGGATACCGTTATATGGGGGCTACATGATAACTTAGACCTACATGGCCCATTTACTAACTTAACCTGCCTACTGGCATAATATACATGTGTGCATAATTTTAGCCTTCTATCTCAATTTGTTCGAAAGATAGTGTGATTACAATAAACAGACAGACAGACAGACAGACGGACATGGCTAAATCGTCTTAGAATTTTACGCTGATCGAGAATATATATACTTTGTTGGGTCTGACATGAGTATTTCGAGGAGTTACAAACGGAATGACAAAATTAATATACCCTCCATAGTGTGGTGGAGGGTATAAAAAGTGAAAACGGCAAAGGGATAATACGTCTCGGGGTATATGTCAAATGTACTTTACCGAAATAACGATTTGTAGCCAAGTTGATCTGGCGGTGTCCTAGTAATCATAACATTTATAAAATGATAAATAAGAGACCGATTAGGGTGAGATGAAAAAACTGCAACCACCTTCAGACTGCTGCCATTTCTAAGCCACTCGTTCGACAGCTGTTAAAATTATTCCAGTGACAGCTCATTATTTTGTTTACAATATTTGGTGAGAATTTTCCAGATTATAGATATTCCAGGTTATTCGTGATGGAATTCAAACGTAATAGTCTGATATCTTTATATTTGGCTGGAAAACCAAAGGTGGCTATCGTTAGAGCACTCCAGCATTTAAATGTGAATAAATCTTTTGTGTCTCGTACCATTGCTTTTTACCGTGATACTGGTAGCGTAGCCCGAAGTCAAAGAAGTGGACGAAAGATAACAGCAACATCAGAGGAAATGGTTTGAAAAGTAAAGAAGCGACTTGATCGAAACCCGGGTCGCAGTGGCTGAAAAATGGCTCGTGAGCTAATCATATCGCAATATTCCATTCGGCAATTGCCACCAAAATCTCCGGATACCATTACTTTGGACTATTGTGTCGATCAGCTCTAGCAAGCACTTCGCCGGGAATGGGCCAAAATACCGCAGAGCAACATTCGGGCAGCGTGTGACGGTTTCATTGGCTGTTTGAAGTCCATAATTCGTACAAATCTAAACTTATTAAAACTTATTCTAAAATTTGATGCTATTTCCGACATTTTTTGCTTTAATTCAATAAAATTGAAAGAAAAAAAATTGTAAAAATATTGGCGTTTGACTTTGTTGCAGTTTTTTTATCTCTCTTTGTATATTATTCAACTTTTTCCCTTTTTCGAAAAGAATAATAGGAATACTTTCATACCAAAAAGTCTTCAATAACATTAATTTTGAAGTGTACCGAGGGTAATATTAGTATCAGCTCTATCCCTATACTCAATACCAAATTTAGTAACTTTTAATGCGCATATCCAAAACAAACTACATTTAGATCCGAAAATAATGCAATCTAGAACTTTTTCAAAACCGGAAAAATTTAGTAATATTCAGTACTTTTTGTATACATTTCCAAAAAAATCTGCATATCTCAAACTTAGATACCATCAGTGACATTAATATCCATTTTCAGGATTTCCGGTCTTTAATATAGGGGGTACCGTTATATGGGGGCTATACGAAGACGTGGACCTGCACAGACAATTTTCTGGCATGGGCTGAAGTATCCATTACGAACTTCACATGCGAAATTTGAAACAATCCCGGTAAATAATGTCGCTAAAATCATCAAAATACCGAATATCGGGGGGTACGGTATATGGGGGCTATACGAAGACGTGGACCTACATGGCCCATTTTCTGTTTTATGCTGCAGCATCTATTACGAACTTCAAATGCCAACTTTGGAACGATTCCGTTAAATAATGTCGCTAAAATCATCAAAATACCGAATATCGGGGGGTACCGTTATATAGGGGCTATCCGAAGACGTGGACCTACACAGATTATTTTCTGTCTTAGGCTGTAGTATCCATTACGAACTTCACATGCGAAATTTGAAACAATTCCGGTAAATAATGTCGCTAAAATCATCAAAATACCGAATATCGGGGGATACCGTTATATGGGGGCTACATGATAACTTAGACCTACATGGCCCATTTACTAACTTAACCTGCCTACTGGCATAATATACATGTGTGCATAATTTTAGCCTTCTATCTCAATTTGTTCGAAAGATAGTGTGATTACAATAAACAGACAGACAGACAGACAGACGGACATGGCTAAATCGTCTTAGAATTTTACGCTGATCGAGAATATATATACTTTGTTGGGTCTGACATGAGTATTTCGAGGAGTTACAAACGGAATGACAAAATTAATATACCCTCCATAGTGTGGTGGAGGGTATAAAAAGTGAAAACGGCAAAGGGATAATACGTCTCGGGGTATATGTCAAATGTACTTTACCGAAATAACGATTTGTAGCCAAGTTGATCTGGCGGTGTCCTAGTAATCATAACATTTATAAAATGATAAATAAGAGACCGATTAGGGTGAGATGAAAAAACTGCAACCACCTTCAGACTGCTGCCATTTCTAAGCCACTCGTTCGACAGCTGTTAAAATTATTCCAGTGACAGCTCATTATTTTGTTTACAATATTTGGTGAGAATTTTCCAGATTATAGATATTCCAGGTTATTCGTGATGGAATTCAAACGTAATAGTCTGATATCTTTATATTTGGCTGGAAAACCAAAGGTGGCTATCGTTAGAGCACTCCAGCATTTAAATGTGAATAAATCTTTTGTGTCTCGTACCATTGCTTTTTACCGTGATACTGGTAGCGTAGCCCGAAGTCAAAGAAGTGGACGAAAGATAACAGCAACATCAGAGGAAATGGTTTGAAAAGTAAAGAAGCGACTTGATCGAAACCCGGGTCGCAGTGGCTGAAAAATGGCTCGTGAGCTAAACATATCGCAATATTCCATTCGGCAATTGCCACCAAAATCTCCGGATACCATTACTTTGGACTATTGTGTCGATCAGCTCTAGCAAGCACTTCGCCGGGAATGGGCCAAAATACCGCAGAGCAACATTCGGGCAGCGTGTGACGGTTTCATTGGCTGTTTGAAGTCCATAATTCGTACAAATCTAAACTTATTAAAACTTATTCTAAAATTTGATGCTATTTCCGACATTTTTTGCTTTAATTCAATAAAATTGAAAGAAAAAAAATTGTAAAAATATTGGCGTTTGACTTTGTTGCAGTTTTTTTATCTCTCTTTGTATATTATTCAACTTTTTCCCTTTTTCGAAAAGAATAATAGGAATACTTTCATACCAAAAAGTCTTCAATAACATTAATTTTGAAGTGTACCGAGGGTAATATTAGTATCAGCTCTATCCCTATACTCAATACCAAATTAGTAACTTTTAATGCGCATATCCAAAACAAACTACATTTAGATCCGAAAATAATGCAATCTAGAACTTTTTCAAAACCGGAAAAATTTAGTAATATTCAGTACTTTTTGTATACATTTCCAAAAAAATCTGCATATCTCAAACTTAGATACCATCAGTGACATTAATATCCATTTTCAGGATTTCCGGTCTTTAATTTCTTCCATTACTAAATTTAGAAGCATTTAGTACATTTATAATACGTATATCCAAAACCAGCTCCTTATATCAACCACAGACTACTCTATCCCTTCACCCAATCCCTTCCAAATCTGAACCGATCTCGATAAAATTTGGCAAAAGTATTTCTGAGCCTTGTTTGATATATTTTCCTAGATATTGTTGTTACGGAGTGCATATTACGGCTGTGGGGAGCAAATATAACAAATAGGAAGAAACAATATATATGGGAGCTATAGCTATTTCTGAACCGAATTTACCAAATTTAACATACTTGTTTCTATGCTCAATTGGGTGGTAA